TTGTAAATATTTACATTTTCACCGAGGCATTATTAGTAGGACTACATAGTTTATATAGTGATATTCACAGAATCATTTACTCCAAACGAAATAGGTCAAAAGAACTAGATCAGATCACCTTGTATAATACTTTCAAAGTGTTCCAGATTGAAAATGGATAGCGACATAAATTCTAACATGTGAGTACCAATTATTGAGCTACCGTCCACACTGGAATATAGTTTTACCTTTAATAGATGTGTCTCCGTATTTCTATTCTATTGACTTAAACAGGCTTTGGTCGACAATAAAACAGTAAATAGCAGGTTTACTCTTTTAATTTGAACGCAATTACATTTTATACAGATTGCCTCCCTTGAATAAACGGTTTTCCGACTCGTGTCGCCACTGCTACATTTCGTCGATAAGCTAGTGTAGTTACCTCTTCAAAAATTAGTATGGACGCCAACTGCGACCATACCTTCTCTCCAATTGTCGCCCAATGAAAATGAGAGGCGACAAGTCGAAAAGCGACTAAGCGTGGGTGTAAAAAGGCGAGAAAGTGAGGAACATTTACCTCGCTATGTCGCCTTTTTCCTCGCTTGCTCGCACTTTTCCTAGATAGAGTAGACTAGATATTAATAGTAATTATGGCCACAGTCGGCTTCCAGAAATTAACCTACCTTCAGTTATTTTCCGCTTGAGGTGAAAAAAAAAAACAACCTGTTACAATTTGTATAGCGACAGGTTTCCTTAATTTCAATTAATGATGTTTATGGCCATAACAAATCCAGAGAACTCACACGTGTGTGAAGTCCAATGGCGGCGTCATGTATTTGAAATCAGTCTTATTAAAATTAGACCAAACTTTCGTTCCGTTTTTTATACGCCCACATGAAAAGGGGGATGTATATTGCCGTCACCCATGTCCGTCCGTCCGTCCGCCCGTCCATTCACATTTCTTGTAGGCGCAATAGAGGCTACAGTTTTTATCCAATCTGAATGAAACTTGGTATGCATGTATATATTGATGAGATCTCGGTCAAGTTAGAAAATTGGTAATTATCGGATGACCGGTTTCAGAGTTATTGCCCTTGACTTAGTAAAATCGCTCTTCATGAAATTTGGTATGCATGTCTATATTGATAGGATCTGTCAAGTTCGAAATACGTAAAAATCAGATGAACGGTTGCAGAGTTATTGCCCTTGTCTTAGTAAAAACGCGTTAAATTTGGCTTGTATGCATGATAAAGGTTAAGATTTTTATTTCATCTTGATGAAACTTAGTATGCATGTATATGTTGATAAGATCTCGGTCAAGTTTGAATTTGGTCATAATCGGGTGATTGGTTTCAGAGTTATTGCCCTTGACTTAGTAAAAACGCTTTAAATTTTGCTTGTAGGGTGCAGTTTTTATCTGATCTCAATGAAACTTGGTATGTATGTTGATGGGATATCAAGTTCAAACATGGTAATAATTGGATGACTGGTTTTGGAGTTAATGGCCCTTGAATTAATTCAGTCCGTCTAATTTGGCTTGTAAGCCTGTTTTATTCGTTTTTTGAGGAAACTTGGTATGAGACCTGAGTTAAGCTTGAAATTAGTAACAATCGGGTGATTGGTTTCACATATTAAACCACTACACACTGTTATCATTTCTGACAGCTTGTAGTGGGCGTATCTTTTTATCTATTTATAAACGTTATCTTGTCGAGTCGACAATTTAAAGACTTTTTATTTGATGACGTCATGTGTATACAGTAGACCCAATTATCCTGTTCCACTTCTACGCACTGCTGCTCATGAAATTTTGTGACTACATTTGTCGTAAGCGTTTTGATAGCAAATGTTTAACCACCCCACTGTGTCGAGTTAAATCGCGAATTAAAGTAAGCGCACCATGTTATTTCTGAATGGAGATTATGTCGTTGACTGCATTTTCAAATTTATATAATTGATATAGTCACAATATTTCATGTTGAAAAATGAAAAGATTAATCTTTTGTTTCATTTCATCATACATAATAAGAACATTCCAACTTCTTACTGCAGCCAGCGTGAAGAAAACGTGCTTTCCAATTCGCGAATACCAAGGCTCAAAATGACCTGTCGGATACTGTCTGAGAAAACAAGATACCGATTCTAAAGACTACTTACATGTATTCAAGGCCCAGATTTCATGTTTGAAGTATTATGCGATTTTGCGTACAATTCTGGTATTGAAGGAGACTATTCATAAACACTCAACCCCAGAAAATGACGAACCATGACCTTTAAAGGGATTGTAAAGAAGTTTTTTTTTTCTTATTTTTTATGTTTATCGGGGACACACATATAGTGCAAATAGATGCTTTCGGTATCCCTGATACACATGAGAAATTTAGATAACCTTAACAAAACATCGTCCTATACGTCTGATGTGAGTATAGATTCGTTATATGATTATTTTAAAAACGACGACAATAACTTTGTCTCAGATGACTTCTCGTTGGATGACTGTGTAGTGAGTTATGATGACGTTATCAATGAGCCAATTACGGAATCTGAGATTGAATATTGTATTGATAATTTGAAAAACAATAAGTCACATGGATCGGACGAAATTCTAAATGAATATATCAAATGTATAAAACTGACAATGATACCGATATATATGTGATGTTATTAAATGTGATCTGGGATACAGGACTTGTACCTACCCAGTGGTGCTCTGGAATGATTTTTCCAATTTATAAAAATAAAGGTAGTAAAGATGATGTCTGTAACTATCGCGGGATAACGATTTTAAGTTGTTTCTGTAAACTGTTCACCTCAGTTATCAATAACAGACTAACACAATTTGTAGAATCAAATTTTAAGCTCGGACCCGAACAAGCAGGTTTCCGGAAAAATTATTCCACAATTGATCATATATTTTCTCTTAAATGTCTTATTGAATATGTGCCGGATTCATCGATTATCGATCAGCATTTGATAAGATCCCCAGGTTGCCCCTATAGCAGAAAGTGTTAGATTGTGGCGTAACAGACAAAATATTCCGAGTTATTCATAACTTGTATAAGTATGCTAAATCATGTGTATGTCTTAACAAAAACAGATCTGATATGTTTAATTGTTCAGTAGGAGTTCGTCAAGGTGAAAACCTGTCCCCTCTTCTGTTTTCCATTTATTTGCAAGACTATAAAGGTTTAAGTGTTCATGAAACTGATTTTGAAAATGTAGGCGTATTTCTTAAACTATTTGCTCTCTTGTATGCCGACGACATTGTCCTCTTAGCAGAAAGTGAATTTGAATTACAAGCTGCTTTCAACTCCATGTTAGAATATTGTTCACACTGGAAACTTGAAATTAATTCATCAAAAACTAAAACCATTGTATTTTCGAAAGGTAAAATTAGGAATACACCTAAAATTACGTATGGAGATGTTGAGATAGAAAATGTTCATGAATATGCTTATCTTGGTATACTTTTTAATTATAACGGTTCTTTTGTCAAGGCCAAGAAAAAACTTCATAGCAAAGCATCTTCAGCAATGTTTTCTCTTTTACAAAAAGCTCGTAAATTAAATCTCGATGTAGATACACAGATACATTTGTTTAATTGTCTTGTAGTACCTATTGCCCTGTACGGTTGTGAGATATGGGGTTCCACTGATAACACACTGTTAGAAAGACTTCAACTCAGATTTTGTAAATATCTTCTACCCCAAATGTCATGGTCTATGGTGAGCTTGATGTATATCCTTTGCAAATTTATATAAAATATAGAATGGTTAATTACTGGTATAAATTTGTAACTGGTCCTCCAGAACGAACGCACTAAATTTGTGAAAAGTTATTACCTCAAGCATCCTTCAGTTATTAATATGTATAACTTATTTGATAGCCAAGGTACAGAGTTGGAGAATCTATGTAAATTCATCTCTATTATTGTACATAAATGAACACTGAGAGTTATAGATGTTATAAGGTGTCAGATTATACTAACTGTAGATATTATTAATCCGTACTATCTCTAACTGTAAATATTATGTGTATATTATATTCATGTGTCTCAATGAGATTTTTTTGAATAAAGATATATATATATATATCTTTACACTCCCATTAAAGTGATACTACGTCTTAGAATTAACATCACATTTAAGAATTTAAACTAGGCGAATAGGAACCATTTGATATACCTGGTGTCATAAATAACATAACAGGATCCTAATATAATCCGATAAAAACCCAAAAACTTAGTAATTATCCATAAGTATGCAATTAAGTATTGAAAAACGCTTAATATCAAGATTAATATTAAGATTAAGCGTTTTTCAATAATTACTTAGTTTTATGAATTTTCCAGATTTTACAGGGATTCTGTTGTAACTTTATGACACCAGGTAAGCTAACTGATGAATATATACTCATATTGATCATTTCGAGAACTTCAATTTTATGTTCATTCTAAGACGTAGTATCACTTTAATGAGAGTAGCTCAACCAAATCGAGAAGGTCACATATCCAAGGTATTTAGAAAACATAAGACGCGACCCTTACAGTAAAATGTAAAATGTCTTAAGTATACTGTCTTTCGTGTTTGTAAATGTAAGTAAAAGCGATAAGCTGATTTTCATTATAAAAAAGTGTCTGCAGTTGGCTTATTGAAATCTATGAAGAATTTTTGGAAAGATTTGTGGTACTTTAGGCCTGTGATAACTTATAGTTTTAATTGGGATTTTTAGGTATCACAATCACATCAATATAGTGCAAATGTATATGTTTTCAGTGTTACTGCTCGATAGGACTATATTATACAAGGCTTGAAAACCTGGTTTAATTTCGTTAATGATAATAATCTTCGAAAACTTTTAAAATGTTATGGTCAAATAAATATTAAACGAAAATGAACTATTATTCATAATTGTTTAAAGACTATATATGTATATTTTATTCTAACGTTTTGATTTAATCATATCATTTTGATTTACATTAAAGGAATGCACCAATAAGTACGATCCAGAACTTAACAACCATGGAAAACAGACGGAAAACAGTGGAAGAAAACGGGAACGATGGTGCCCTGGACAAGTTATATGAGACAACCAATAAACAGGAAAGTAAAATATCCAGAAACATAGTAATTAATTGGTTGAAAGATAAACTTCTATTGATATTATTGATGTTAGGTGTGGCTATTGGTTTTGGTTTAGGTTTTGGATTACGTCAAGCTCCAAAATCTGAAAGTTTACTGTTATGGATAGGTATGTAAAATGTTTGTTCTTTCAACCGTGAATAAGTAAGTCGTAGGCATCGACTGACTCGCACTAACGAAAGGGGCCTATATCGAAATTGATGGTAAAGGGTACCCTTTGAAGATATCGATATCATTAATTATAAAATGAAACGGTTTATATGTCGGATTATGATCATTATGTTCATGATTACATTCATGAGGCTAGAGCGGTTTATTCCCTATGGGGAGGGGGCGATATGGGAAAGAGGCAAAATAGTAAGAGGTGATATGGAAAAGGGGCGAAACGGAAAAGGGGTGACTTGGGATGGGGCGATGAGGAAAGACACCGGCTATAGCCTAGGACCATTTTGCCGTGTTCTCCTGAATAATTTTCATGATTGAAAACTAATAGTCAGGGCACTTGTCGTTGTCCATTCTTCAATGCATATCTTCGTATTTATCAGTTTCCGAAAAACAAAAACAAAAAATGTAGTACATGTATTGAACTTCTTTGAAATACAAATTGCTGTTGATAACTGTTGTCTTTTCATTACCCGAGTCTCCCTGGAATTTCCATCCGTACCATTTAGAAATAGTATTCGCTTCAAGGAAAGCCTCAACCCAACAATTATATTGTTTCTGAATAGTTTCCACTAGTCTTTTGTATGGCTTTCAGCAACTGTGGGATTCTCCCGCAGCCTTGACCCTTCATTAGCATGCAATTACCGAAGACCGGCTTGTACGAACTTCGATTCGAATGAAATAAACAAAAACATAAGAGTTGTTCTTCTGTGCAAATTGATCATGGCGAAATAAAAGACAATGTGTATAGCGATACGTTCTGTCCTTAAAATAACTGACAGTTAAGTAAGAAATTTAGATTTAGATGTCTAAAGCCAATGATATTTATTTTTCTAGGTATGCCTGGAGAATTGTTTATGAGAATGCTAAAAGTAACATTATTACCACTACTTGTTAGCTGTATTATAATAGGTAATTATTTCCATTCATTATCTTTAAAACCAGCGTCTGATTGATAGGATAGGTTTGATAGATCTTCACAATGTCAAGCTATTACGAACTTCGTCTTATACCTTGACTGCGGTATCCACCATTCTTGTGTCACGGAATTCAACGCTTTGATTGAATTGTACGTTTACGAATACTACTTATTTTCGACAGAAATATTGCATGCATTATGGCTTATTGTTTATGTACTATGTCGAGAGCTTACAATCATACCAAATGGCAACATTAATAAACTTCCATGATACATGCAAGGTATAAGACGAAGTTCATAATAGCTTGGCATTGTGAAGATGAGATCTACCTTGTAACTGGCGAAATCTGAGAGAAACTGAAATTGTGGTAAGGCTCATTTCCTGCTTTGACTAATGTGGATCTAATGTGGATTGTCAGTTGGTTAATTTGTTAATACGAGGGTATTACTCACGCAACGGGTAACACTAGACTCCCAGACTATATATTATGGTAAAGGATTGTGACAGGTTTTTAAGTAACTATGGTACAATGACAGAAATTGATAATTGTATACTGTATGTCAACTGTGAAAGCTATGTTTCAAGTGCATCCAATTTAATACAGTAAATATGAAATCCTTATTTCAAAGCTGGTAATTCCCCCATTGTTAGATAGATATACACAGACGATAAATACTATCGAAAATATTTTATTATTATTTCGGATAAGCGTTATAGAAATTTAAAAATTACAATCTTAAGTTTACAGTCTATCTTTTAAACTAGTAAATCTAACGCAGTTTACAATCAGTCTACCATCTTGACAATGTAAAGCTTGACTGCACGAAAGTTTGTATATACAGCGATTTAAATGGATTGTACGCTTATACAAGCAATCAAAGCCCTCGACAAAAAGTCTGCAAACAATAAGCAATCATGTTTATAGAATTTCTGTCGAGAGTTCCGATTTGTTGTAGTCGCTGGCGTACAATCCAATCATATCGCTGCATTCCACGGTACAAGAATACGAGTCAGGTTATTAGGTTCATAATATTTTGACATTTAGCTATTTTATTTTTCAGGAGCATCATCATTAGATCCTAAATCCAGTGGTAAAGTTAGCATAGTATCACTATCGTACATAATACTTACAAATGCTGTTGGTTCATTGCTTGCTCTGGCTGTAACCTTTGCTATACAACCGGGTGCGTAGAACATTTTCCTTTACTGAATCAAATAAAGTGTCACTTAAAAATATTTTCGCCAAAGCTATCAAAAGCTTGATTACATGTAACGTTGCACAATATGAGCTGAACTGTCCTGAATGTTTCTGAAGCAAAATTCTATTACTAATAGGTAATATGCTTGTATCACATCGTGATTAGTGACGTCAACAAACACTTAGTTTTAGTGGAATTGCAGAAACCACAGATTGATAATTGGGATGGTTCAAATTGATGTCATCAGTGTCCTTGAAATACGCATAAAAGGGTTAGAAAACCTCTTTACAATTCCTTTAAAACATAGCCTTAGTATTAAGATGACACCGATGCGAATACTAAAGAACTCTAATAACACTTTTATTTCAGGAAAAGATCAAGCGATACCAGACGATCTGATGTCAACTAGGCCAGACACCAGAAATCTTATGACAGAAGACATTTTCGCTGATCTCATCAGGTACGAACTAATATAACGGATTCGTTACGGACGAAACCTTAAAGGGAAGAGAGTATGCACCAGCTTTAAAGGGTTATTCCACTTTTTTATGAAAAGTTTTCATTATCAAAAATGTAATAAATTATACCTGAAAATATTTCTAAAGTATGTTATTTATATCTATTTATCTATATTCTTGATTAAACTGAATTTGTTTTAAAAGGGTTAATTAAAAACTGAGAGTACTAATTGTTAATTAAGCAGTTGAATCAGTTTTGGGGTTTAACTTTATAATGGCTCTATATTATTAGTTTAAACGTTTAAAATACGAAGGAGACATTTTTTTCTACAATTAAGCGTTCACTTTATTAAAATCCGTACAATAGTTTTCTAACAGCTTCCAAATGCACGACGAACTTAAAAATGTTACTTTTTACATATTTTTGGCGTTTTAACAACTGGGTTGTTTTGGTTTAAACACAGGGCATATTTATCTATATTTTGGTGTATAGTTTTCACAAACTCGAGCACATGTCTCTTTGAAATAACAAGAATTGTGTAAAAACTATATCTCATTTTGTGCCAATTTCCGGCAATGTTGTCAATGTAGTGTGTATACATTATTGTATAAATTCAATTTGTTTTCAAAAAATATAAATCTACACTTTCACATTCAACACTCATATTAATTGTCAATGGAATAAAGTGTGTTTTCTTATATGACAAAATGACAAAGGTGATAAAACTTCAGTCAATAAGACAAATGTTCTTTTTAAAAACTAATAACTCGAAGGGCTCAAAATAAAGAAAGAAACTTGTTGCTGAGAAACGAAGACATGGCATTTGTGTTGCTTTTTATACACCCACACGTAAGTATGGGCGTATATTGTGGTTGGCCGTGTCGGTCCATCGGTCCGTCCGTCGGTTCGTCGGTCTGTCCGTTCTCATTTACCTCGTGCTCATTCTACAGACTACAATTCTCTATAGCTTCTTTTGATCTTTTGTATGTGTGTCAATATCATTAAGAAAATGTGCACTATTGAATTTGGTGAGGATCCGATGATTTTCTTGAGAGATATCGCATAAAACTCTGATATTGCGTTTTTTCACCCTTTTGGCTCGTGCTCACTCTACAGGCTATACGATATAGAGTTTGTGTTACAGTTCACCTTTAGCTCTTTATCAAGCTACTGGTGGGCGTATTCCCTTGCGAGACTTTCCACAAGCCTATGTTTATTCACAATCTGTAGTCAATAAAAAATGAAGAAAACGTTTCGGGCTGTTCATCGAATTGGCCTACTTAGCATATGTGATGCTCCGCCCATTTCCTGTACAATTCCGTTTCAACAAAATATATGGTATTTCTTTTGGACATTTGCAGGAATCTATTTCCAGACAACATGGTATCAGCAGCTATACAGAAGAGTCAGACAGTATATACACCCCAGATGTTTAATACTGTAGAAAATACAACTAATGGTTTGACTAATGTTACTGTTGAGTTTTTAAAAAGATCTGTTAAAAGTACTTCGGGTAGTAATATTTTAGGTAAGATTGCAGGGCTTGACATTTGTAAAACATGTATTTGTACCCAAACAAAGATGTGGTCCTCGATCAATACCCAATTCGCTTGAAAAAGTTCTCTTATAAATAAATGATCCGATAATAATGATACTTTCGGTTATTTTCAGCTATTTGTAAATCCTAACGTATTTAAAGGTACCCTCACATCATGTATATAGCGTTTGTGTATATGGTTGTGCTACAATTCGTGATGAATTTAATGCAATCCAGTGGAATAATATATTTTTATTCTGGGACGCCTTCTTAAAATCAGAAGTTCTTAATGATATGCAATTTATAGATAAACGAGGAGAAAACATTTTATAACACTCCGGTAATTCATTTGCGATCTCTTCCCATGTTAAATCTCAAAATACAACCTTCTATAACTCTTCCAAAATCTCATTGAAAATTTTCCAATTGTGGCCAATGCTTAGTTTCTGGACAAAATTTCAATATACCATGACCATGAAAATCTTGAACTAGCCAAACTGAAAGTAGACCACTACATTTTATCAACATCCGCTTGACTGTCAATGCAAACAAAACGACTATTTTTTTTAGAATTATCAGTCCGCATGAAAATCTCTCATCATCTTACAAAATCTGAAAGAAAATGCAATTTCAGACATCAAATTCCAAATCTAGACCAAAATTTAGTCAAAAATTGACACGCAAAAACCCCAGAAGGGAGGGAGAAAGAGGATCTTTTAAAAATTAGCAAAGAACTATTTGTCGACCTACAAATTCTCACATGATCCAGTTTGATTTCCTGTTGGTTTGACAATATTCTGGATCAGATTGAAAGATATAGAACTATTTCTATATTTAATTTTTCCTCCTCTGTTTAAATTACAGGTATTATTATTATTTGTGCTGCCCTTGGTGTAGCTGCTTCACAACTTGAGGAAGAATCCAGACTATTTATTGACTTCTTTAAAGCTATCTATGCTGTAATAGCAAAAGTACTAAAATGGATTGTTTGGTACGTCTCAGTAATCTCCTATCACCTTAATATTAAATGTTCTCTACTGTACCAGTAGCGACTGAAAAGATATAAAATGAAGAAAAATGTAGATTTCTTGACACAAAAAAGGATGGCTGTTTCAGAAAGATATGCATATGGATAGGACAAATCCATTTGTCAGTCCAAATCATGAAAACAAAATCAGATCATATAATGTAAAGGCACCGTTACACCTAAAAAGCGTTGGAAAGTTGGCTGAGAACGTGCCATAAGGTTGGTATAAGAGGACACACTGTAGGACACACACGACATCGTCAGACAAGCGTTGTAACATCTCCTTGAGCGGTATAAGAGAGCAGTTCGTGCGCTAACATTATAACGCAATATGGTCGCATAACTCGCGGTAAGAGGTCGACTGTTTTCTGTAGTTTTTCTCACGTTTGTCCGCGACTAAAGTGCATTTCATGTCGCTGTAAGATCGCAAATGGTCGCAGTCCGGTGTAACAGGGTAACATAGTAAAATAAATCACAATAGACGCAAGCATTATGAGTTATATATTGAATTAGTTGATAGTATATTCTGTCACAGTGATGTTATTTTTACTAATCAAAGAATGTCATGTAAAACTCATTTCTTGTAAAATTGCTCTTCTATAGGTTTAGATAATCTACAATTTCTAAATCCCAAAGAAACGGGTTTATTTTTATTTTAATGTAGCCACGTCGGACCATTCAAATTTATTGAAAATGCTAAAGCTACGTTTGTACTGACCAATTTTTGACTTTGAGGTGTAGGACATATGTTGATGCTATGAACAACTGTTTTCTATTTGCTCTATTTCAGGCTAACACCTATAGGAGTTGCTAGTTTAATAGCGGAATCTGTATTGAAAACAGAAAGGCTTGAAGAAACATTTAGTAGTTTAGGTTACTTTGTATTAACCATCGTAGTTGGATTGTTTATACATTTCTTTATATTTATCCCTGCTTTATATTTCATCATTATGAGGAAGAATCCTGTTAATTTCATAATTGTCGCTATGCGACCCGTGTTGACCGGATTTGCACCTCCCAGCTCGTAAGTATATCTCAGAAATACTAATTAATATATGACGTGTTGAGAGGGAGGGTATTGAGTAAGCAGATTATCGATGAGACTTTTTTGTTAGCCAACTATAGTTCATGCCAAATGTAAAATGCTTTTCTTTTCATCGACCCACTCAATGTATTGTGAAGATTGTCACGAAATAAAAGGCTAGTAATAGGCTCATATGTCTGAAGTCACAAATTAGGTAAATAATCTTTAAAGCCCAGAAAAGTCCAGCATTTCTCGGGTCACGAATTAAAAAAAATGATTAATGGCCACGAAATAAGTAAGAAAGAGTTGCACAAGACTCAACTGTCCAATAAGGTAACACAATATTGGAATAATTTTGACTAACCCATGAAGTGATAAACCTTAATAATATTATATGTATTTTCAGGGCAATTGCAATGCCAGAAATTTTTAGAGTTTGCGATGAGAAGCTGAATATTAATAAATCAGTATCTGGCTTTACGGTACCATTAGCTACATCGATAAATCGTGATGGAAGCTGTTACTTTATAGCAGTAACGGCTATTTATATTGCTCAAGTAAACCAAGATGAACTAAATGCAGCTACCATTATAATGATGGCGTACGTATACATGTATTAACATTTCTTAATTAACAAATGTCAATCTTGAAGAATTCATTTTTCCTCTTTTCCGGAAACTCAGCTGTAAATGGAAACGAATCAGCATTTAGACCAGAACCCCGCATTTGAGCATTATCAGGCGGCCATGGTCCTATGGCCATCCCCCTACTAAATACATAACTACATATCGATGGAATGCGATTCATTTGATGAAAATATTTGTCCAAATTTGATAAGAAATGCGTTATAAAAAGATTAAAGCTGTCATGAAATTTGTTACTGTGTAAGACGTGTACGCTTCCTGGCGATCATTCGTTGACGGTTATGGTATAAATAAACTCTTGATAAGAATCATAATTTTGATATCGGTGGGAATAGGTCTATAATCTTACAAATAAACCCCGTCACTATAGTGTATAAATTGGTACCATTAATGTTATTAATTCCCCCTTTTTACTCTAGCTTGTTAGCTACTATTGGTTCGTTAGCTATTCCATCTATACCAAGTGCATCCGTCGTTACACTTCTGATTATATTATCATCTTTAAATATGGAAGCTCGGAATATTGGGTTAATAATGGCAGTGGAATGGTTCACGTGAGTATTATGCTTGATGCGTTTTCTCCAGACCATCGTATCACGAATACAGGTTTTGACATGCCCGAGGAAGTATGACTTATGGGGATGTGATTTGGGCTCTTTGTCTCCATACTAGCATAGAAACCCACACAAAGATGTGACAGATGCTTGGGTCTCGTAAAGTCCTTGATGTTTAATGAAATCATATATAATATCGTGCACGTTTGTTTTTTGTTTGTGCACACGTTAATTCTTGTGAGCTCAGCAATTGTAGGCACATGCATATTACAGATTTAATCCATCAAACCCCTGTTCTTGCCGTACAGTTTGAGTTTAAAATGTATTGGAATTTGATGTTTCATTGCAGCGATCGTCTTCGAACATCCTGTAATGTGCTCAGTTCCACGTTGTGTTGTGTAGTGACAAATAAATTATGTGGATTTGCAAATAAGAATATTGATATAGAAACACCAGTAATTGAGAAAATACCAAATCCTGAAGAAACGCGGCTTTAGTTCTGAGCATCCGATGAATGGATCCCAACCTAGGTGTCTCTTTTTTGCTTTTTTTTTCATTGGCCTATATACACCCAATATAAATAGATTTAATTTCTGAACACCATATACATCCTCTACTCCCACCTTTAGACAGTAGCATACAAACAAAACAGCGCGCTGACCTAGTTACAGGAATCATTATTTGATTATTAATTTATTTACTTATTTAATCGTAGACTATTTTGCGATTTGGCTGATTCAAATTTACGGTTTTGAAAACATGCTGGCAATGAATAATACATATTAATTATTTGAAATATTATAGCCTTCTTAAAAACTAAAAGATCCGACTTTTTATGTCGAGAAGTCAAGGCGTATTGATTTAAAATGGTTGTGACCTATTTTAGTGTGTTATTTCCAAGAACTGTACGGAGTTTCTTATGTATGTTAAATTCCATAAATGGCCAAATTACAGGCTTCTGTTTATTTGTGAATGTGCCTTATAATAAAAGTTTTATCATCTATGTATTTGTTGAAATATAACTATCATGCCTTTTGATAATAAGACTATTTAGTAAGTTTGAGTAATTTTGTTTTTAATTTCAGACAAACTGCACGTCTAGTTTTTATTCTGAAAATGTTACAGGTAGTTGAAATTGCCGATACATTTCATAAACCATTTGGGAAAAAAATGGTTTTTATCTCACGATTCGTAGGCCCAAATATAAAACTTATATAATTTAGTTAACCCATTTAGACTACTATAGCGTCCCAAAGTTTTCAATATTTGAATTAAAAGACATTTTCCAAAGACAAAGACATTAATGTGTCGATATGTTATAGAAATAAGATCCTTTAAAAGAAAGACAATATAGTTCATTTAGTTTCTAAAATTGAGTAAAGCATTGTTGTCTTGTTGATTTATATATTGGATTCTTTCCCTTTTAATGATTTACTGCATGCTTGCCACGAGAGAATATTTTTCGCACGAAACTAAAGAGCTTATAATTGACAAACTGAAGGTATGGTCCAGACACACAGGTGAGTGATAGTTTCTTTTCTATATATGTTCCCAGACAGTCTGCTCAATTACTGTCCACCCATACTCCTTCTCAAATATCAAAACAGTTAATTTAGGTATTTTCGTAAACAATTATGCTATTAATCAACAAAATAATCTATTAGTGGTTCTATATTGTATATTCTATTTATCTACCTTGTTGTTTTGGTCGTAAGTTGTCTCCATTTATAATGTCAGATCATTGTGATATCAGAAATGAATTTTGTACATCATTTCAAAGATATTCAAGTAACATTCAGTCCATTAAAATGTAATATACGTATTTGAAGTTTTTTAAATAACACACTGACGTCACAGAAATAACATCAAAATTTTCCACAATTTGAACTCAAATGTCCTTTGACTCTGAGCCTTAAAATCAAATTCAGTCAAACCAAGAATCAACTTATGTTCGTCTTTTACCTTTGCATATTGCCTGTTCTGTAACACTAATGAATTTGATTACAAATTTCTGATTTCTTTGATTTTTGGTTGACTTTGGTTGAATGTAAACTTTGCTCTATGACTATTCTGTTTGATCTTTGATTACTGACTTTTCTGTTTGACTCCTTCTTCTAAACATTACGTTCGGTCATTGGCTTTTCTGTTATAAACTTTACATTTGATTATTGACTTTTCCGTTTGACTTTTCAATAATAACCTTTAAGTTGAATCTCGACTTTTCTGCTTGACTCCTTATTTTAAACATTACATTCGATAATTGACTCATATGTTAAACTTTACATTTGATTACTGACTTTTCTGTTGACTCCTTATTTTAAACATCACATTCACTAATTGACTTTTCTGTTTGACTTTCAATAATAATCTTTAAATTGATTCTTGAATTTTCTGTTTGGCTTTTCAAAAGATTTTGTAAAATCTTCTGTGACTAAAAAAGTAAAAGTAAATCAATGACAAAGATTTAGCTGAATTTTCCCTGTTTGAGAAATTATGGCACTAAAAGCGTAGGTTGTGAGTAGGATTGATAAATCCCAATATCATATGCGTTGTTTATATTTCTGTCTACGACTGGACAGCCGATATTGTTTTCTGCGTTATTGTGCATGAAGCGTGATGTCAAGCTGGTTGGTTGGTTGGTAGATGACAAGTTAACGTTCGCTTCCAGCGGATGCTGATATCGCAAACTAGATGTCAAGCTATTACGACCTCACTCTTATACCTGCAATAGCCACGTTCTATCACAGGATGCGGCGATTTGATTGGATTGTTCGGCCAGAGAACACAGCCATGCAAACAGAATCCCGAACAGAAATACTGTCGACATTATGGCTTAGTGTTTGCAGACCTTCTGTCAAGGTCTCTGATTTGCTGTATTCGCTAGCGTAAAATTAAATCGCCACATTTACAAAGTTCTGTAATACAATAAAGGTGGCTATTTCAGTCAAGGTATAAGATGAAGTTCGTAATAGCTTGACATTGTGAAGATGATGGAGTGGTTACTTCAGTTGTACACCTAACCTAACGATCGGAATATTAGCACCCACTATATAAGCTATAGAATTGTTGTCTCATTTCTTGTTTACTAATAATCTTATTCTTCTGCTTAATGTTAACTTAATAAATGTCATAACTTGACGTCATGTCTTAGATTCCAAACTTGTAGGTGGGTGAATAAGAACGGTGGATTCAAAATAAAAAGAAAGGCAATTACGGCAGGAAAAAGTAAACGCTATTTCAAATATACCAAAATATCAATCACGCCATAGTTTAAGAATATATTTATATTTAAGAGATTTTTTACAAGAAATGATAAAATGTGTGGACTTTTATTAATAGAATATAATGACAGTGACTAATGGCAGCGGACGAATTTTCCCTCTAAAATTGAAGATCAATAATCTAATTTTAGATCATTGTTAGCTATTTTTAGGTTGTAAGTCTATTTTCAGCCACTACTGATATATTTAGAGAACCATCTAGATAAAAATAGTTCAAACTCATTGACGGTTGCTTTTTCTGACCCTATTGGGATAGATTAAAGACGTCGTAACTTGATAAATATCCTGTCCCTAATGATCCCTTTTGTCTATTATTCGAGGCTTACTACTTAATACGTTGACAAAATAAATGGAAAACATGGTTAAGACAATGGGTTAAAACAGTGGGTTACGGATTTATACAATCTTTTTTTGACCATACGAATACGAAGATTCTGTAATATAAGCATTTATAGACCCTAGGCATGTATCTCGATTTTTACCCATAATCCTCGCCGTGTATCATTAAATTTAAGTACTGTTAGGCCGAAAGTGTTCCTGGCCAACCAAAATAATGTATTGGTGTACAAAACTCAATTTAAAGTCTTTTGTACTGTAAGTGCGTCGTATATATATGGATAACTTTCATAACCAATGTTATATGACAAAATGCCATTCTGATATATCACAATATGAAAAACGTCATAACGATGAGTTCACTTGACAGAGACGAGATGAGGGTATCGCCAATGTTTTCTGTCAAAACTTAGCTATTAGACCAAGGTCTTTAAATTTAGATGTTCTCTATGTGTCTCTGCTGTTTTGGCCCCCTGGTATTATATAGTCGAAAGGGGATACACATCCGTGACCATTTCAAAACTTAATATAGTGGACACCTCATATTGAACAGGGTCCCTATGGGCGCAAATATCTTTGCTTGACGAGAATGTCGTGTAATTTTTCATCTTGAAACTGTGACTTAAACCTTTCTTAATCTTGTTGACCAAATAATTGATATTTAAAAAATGAACCCCACTATCCGAAAAGACTCTTATTAAAAGGGTTAGTAATATAATCAGTTATTCAGACGGCTTTGTGCCATGGTATTCGAATTGTATACACGATAGTTTTTGTGTTTCTTCATTGCCTTTAAGGTGAACGAAGGACGCCCGGACATACCAAACACATACTCATGTCTCTGGATGAAGTGGTTCTTGAAATAATGTGATGGATCTGAGAGCTCCATTGGAGGGATTTTGCCAACACATTTCAGTCCTCTTGTTTCTTTGTAGTATCACAATCAACAATAAATCGTCTTAAGGGTGGTTTTTAAACGTTTGACACGTGGGGCTGTGGTCTACCGCCATTTACAATACCATATTTTCTGTATTCTGATCCGAAGATTGATTCGTGTAGGCGGGAAAAGATTATGTTCGTTTTAGGATATATTGGAAATAAATTTAAGACGGTAAAAGACATTAATTCTATAAATAGAAAACTAAGTGTTATACATGTGTATATATATATATATATATATTTTGGCCATGTAGGGCGTTAAAAGTCTAGGAAACTTCCGTGTCTATTTGAACCAAAACCAATTTTGATAAATATGTTGTAGATCATGATAAGACAAATACAACCAAAACAATTTAATGGGGTAGTTGATGGACAGTGGTTCAACAGTTGGCTTTGGTCCAACCTGATCGCAATCCAAAATTTCGATCTGTCATTCATCATCTTAGCTGGTCTCTTGTCTTTCAGGGTAACAATTGAAGGCACGAATTAGGTCAATAGTATTGTCACTGAACGAATTGTCCCCGGGGAGTACCAATTCCCAGCATTTCAGAAGAATGTACATGCTATTCTCCTCTCACTTTAACACAAGCTTTTTAAAGCAGCAGAATTTCTATTGAATTCATCAGCTCAACCAAAATAAAAAAAAGTTTGTGATCCATTTTATATCCCCCTATCCCTGTCCATTGCCTGGGTAATATTGATTTGAGAAGCTCGAATTACGATATATCGAAATTTACAAAATATGACGACATAAAGCATTGTTATCTTTCCTACTCTTTCTTTACTCCCACCTTACGTACTTGTCGATATGCCTCAAGTATTGACGATTCCAGCAATTAACATCGTCAAATGAAATGATAATATCAGGTCAAGTTTATATGATAGTCTTTCAACATCTGTCTCCCCATCGCCCACTCAAACAACCTTTGTCAATATTTTAA